AAAAACTAAAACATTAATATTAATCACAGCATGTTTTAAACAGTTGTATTTTGCCTATGTTATAGGCAAACATTTTGATGAAGTCCTATTAACTCATTGAACTGAAATGTGTAATACACATACAAATACCTAAGGCAATTTAGAGATCTCTAACTTGGGACGCAATTTGACAAAATGAAGCACCCAGTGGCAATACTAGGCCAAGGTGACTTTGCCCTATCATTCCCCTCGTTTACAGGATTTTTTGAAGTGAAATCAGTTTCTAGGAACAAGAACCCAGGACAAGGAGAGGTCATGAAAGTTGATGCTGGCATTGCCACTTACCATCAGTTCAGAGCCTCAGATGTGTAAACTTTTACTCTAATACACAAGAGTATTTGCCATTGTCTAACACTGTAAGTAGTAACACGCAATATGGCAAGTCTTCAACTGCACCTTTATGTAGCGCATCTTTACAAGGTAAAGATCTGTTGAACTGGATCCACCACAAAAATGTTTTACTGTAATTACTTCATAATAATTCACCACTTCCTTCAGGTTTTATTTACAATGGGTTTAGATATTACAACACTTACAGGACACAAAGGAAGTCTGAGTTCAAATTTCTGACTGGAAGAACAGTAAGTAACTAGATAGTTCAACAATTCTTTATGCTTATATAAAATTGCAAATTACTTTTGAAGCTATTTTAAAATAAATGTATATAATCTTTTGTTTTCATAATGCATTCTAGTTCCACCTACATCAGTGCTATTGGTGTTCACATTTTTATTTGCTAGTGCTTCCTTTTATTTATTTAAGTAATCAATATAATTGCTACCTTTGGGCATGCCTACCTCTGTACAGTGAAGTATGGTGCAGTGATGCTCAAAATACCACCATCTCAGCTAGTGCCATGACCAGAAGGGGACATATTTGAAGGATTATTAACTGGGTCTCCTATATTGTTTTTAAGCCAACCACTACAGGTGATTTCCCTGCATCATGAGAATACTCTAGTTCAGATCTGAAAGAGTCAGTCACAGGTTGCATCTCTACACTGCACTAGCCTGCACAATCCAGACGTCTGCAATTTCTTTCTTTCTGAAAGAAATGAACATCACATCAGCTCTTTCCTGCACTTCCATCAGGACCTTTGTGCTTGGACCTTTGATTGTACTATGACGTCTTCCTACATTGCAAATCCTTTTTCAAGTACAATTTTAAAGGAAAAACTGTAAGACAGGTTCTAATACAAAAGTTAAAAAATAAAAAAATTCAATACAAAGACCTCAGAAGCTATGCTTGAAGTTTTTGTGGAAGCAAGCCAACACTTGAAAACCTGTCCTGTCACAGCTTGTGAAACAGTAACAAGAAAGAGTTGCTATTCTTGATCAAAACAGTAGAAACACAAATCAGAGGAAGGGTCTTCCCTCCGTTCTTCAACAGGCTGAGCAACATGAAGAAACCAAACCTAGAAGATATAGTGCTAATCTCCTGTTGCTGATATTGATTGAGGGCAGTGCACAGCGCTGGAATTACTACATGGGCACTCCCCACCTCTGACTGTCAAAGCAAGTATTTATTTTCCTTTCCCTGGTCTCTCTGCAACATATGATATTCTTAATTTAGATATACTGCTATCTTGTCTGAGAAAGGTTGGTAGGGCCCTGATGAAATGTACAACAGTTCGAACTGTTTCTGGAGGGCTACAAACTGCAAGTGCTGATGGAAATACCACCTTCCCCACTATTGTACCGGTTTTGGCTGGGTCAGAGTTAATTTTCTTCATAGTAGCTTGCATGGTGCTATGTTTTGGATTTGTAACCAAAACAGTGTTGACAACACCGGGATCTTTTAGTTATTGCTGAGCAGTGCTTAGCACAGCATCAGGCCTTTTCTGCTTCTCACACCACCCCACCAGCGAGTAGGCTGGGGGTGCACAGAAGCTGTGAGGGGACACAGCCAGGAGAGCTGACCTCAGCCAAGGGATATTCCATACCATATGACATCGTGCTCAGCAATAAAAGCTGGGGGAAAGAGGAGGAAGGGGTTACGTTCGAAGTTATGGCGTTTGTCTTCCCAAGTAACGTTACGTGTGATGAAGCCCTGCTCTCCTGGAAAGGGCTAAACATCTGCCCGCCGATGGGAAGTAGTGAATGAATCTTTTATTTTGCTTTGCTTGCATGCGTGACTTTTGCTTCATCTATTAAACTGTCTTCATCTCAATCCATCAATTTTCGCACTTTTACCTTCCAGTTCTCTCCCCCATCCCACCGGGGGTGGGGTAGTAAATGAGCGGCAGCGTGGTACTTAGCTGCCTACCAGGGTTAAACCACAACAACTATTAAACCACACCAGGATCGATATATTCCCTTTCCAACACCTCCAAAAAACTAAGTGTTCCAATGACATGCTGTATCCTCTGATAAATCCTCTGCTGCATTTGACAACAGAGTTATCGATGTCAATTAGAAATTCTCAGGTTTAGATGAGATTAGCTTATGATTGAAGTTAAATCCAGCAGTAAGAGAGGATGTTGGACAGAGGAAAATAACCTTTTTATCAATCTGCATGGACAGGACAATTTTCTTTCTTAAAAGGTACACACCCACGAATGATAAATGCAGCTCTGAATTCAGAATAGTGTTGGGTTCCTTGCTAATGCTAATGCCTCAGTTCATAACATTGCCAAGTAACACTCTGTAAATGCTTTTAGAGAGGACTCTGTTACTGATACCTTTGTAATTTCTCAGATATATTAAATCACCATGATATACCTTGAACATGAACCTTCCACATCCAGAAAACTTCAATATCCTAAAGCTGCAGCACATCTCTTCCTCAACAGAGACCACTACAGTAAGTCATACCTAGACCACTACAGTATAGAATCATAGAATCGTTTAGGTTGGAAAAGACCTTTAAGATCATCCAGTCCAACCATTAACCTAACATTACCAAGGCCACACTAAACCAATCAAGGGTAGACTAGACTAAACCATGCCCCGAAGTGCCACATCTACCCGCTTTTTGAACACTTCCAGGAATGGTGACTCCACCACCTCTCTGGGCAGCCTGTTCCAATGCTTGACAACCCCTTCCATGAAGAATTTTTCCTAATATCCAACCTAAACCTCCCCTGGCGCAGCTTGAGCCCATTTCCTCTCATCCTATCGCTAACTATGTCTCTACTGTCTACACAGGTTGCCTGTGGAATTGCAAATCAAGTTCAAGATCTTTGCCTTTTCTTTAAGGCCTCACTTGCTTGGGCTCAGAATCCATCAACAGAAGCACACGCCACACAATACGGGCACCGCAGACATCCCCAAGCTAGTGCAAAGTGTGCTGGTACACAGAGCACACGTGCAGTCACTAGCTCAGGCTCTACAAAGAGATGATACAGCCATATTAGCATGTCAGTGAGCCTGAGCTAATTACTGCTGCTGCTTCCAGTTTCAGAACTCAGTCGGAGCCCGGAGCTCTACGGTGACAGTCACAAGCTGGGCTTTTCAGGCACCGCAGCAACATGCCCCATGGGAGGCTGACATTTGTACTCAGGGGACAGAGCATCCTTAGAGACTTGATCAGGTCTGGGGCATCAAAACCCTGTGCTCTCTTCTCCCGCTCTGTAGGAAGAAGGTCCACCACAGTACATGACTCGATTCTTTTAACGTTGCTTTCCAGAGCTGTTGCAGGAATGTACACGTTTATTTTTCTAAAGCACTCATCTCCCCAGAACAAATAAAAAACAAACAAAATAAAAGGGAAAAACCCTACCAAAACAGGACACTCTATTGTACATATCTCTGTCTCTCACAGATGATGAGGGTATGTGAAGCTTAGTAATGTTGCTCAGCGTATTACTGAAATTCACTCAGATGCTACGGTTTGCCATCTGTACCTCTTGTTCTCATACCGTTTTAGTGCCTCTCTCTGCCATTTGATTCATGTAAAGAGAGACTAATTAAAACCAGAAAGGGCCACTCTTTGGGATAAAATAAGACAACCTGATCTGAGCACAAACTGTATAATTTGTCTGTAAAAATGAGGTCAGTATCTGCACTAGTTAAGGAACTGCACTGAGAATTCTGTACTGATTTTGTCATATTCCTGTAAAATTTTGGGCAAGCCATAATATCCACATGCTTCAATTCTACAACTGTACAACTGAGATACTACATCCTTTTGTTACTGTATATCAGATGATGATAAATCCCCAAATGCTTGAGTACCTTAGGAAATATTCTAGGCATTAATTAAAAATGAATTTAAAATGCAGTTACTATTCTGTACAAAACCCTGGTTTAATGCAATGAATTTGTACCAAGAATGCCTTTGTCCTGTTTAACTTCCAAAACTGACCAAACTAAATCACATAATGGTATTCTTACTGCATACAAAGATGATCCGCATGCAATCATCAGTATGTAACATCCATCCTCCAATAAGCATTTTCCACATAGACCACACCCCTGTTATTTGAAATGATCCATACTAGAAAGATGATGGATCTGGGAGAAGACCACCAATAAATGAGCAATGAATTGTACATACTTATCGCACAGCGCTACGCTGGTAGCTAGTTGTATAATGACAACAATAATAATCTAGTAGAGTATATACTCCTTTCTCAAATCCTAAACCAAGTTGGCCTATGTGCAAGAGCACTTGGTAAATGAGAAATACTATACAAAGGAACACCCTAACAACAATGGTTTAGGCATTAACTTTGGATGCAGACAGGAAGGTTTCTAAAAAGAAAAAAAACCTGAAAAGGTGTCTTTTATAATAAGAATCTTTTCAGTTTTGTATGCATTTTTACTTTATTAAACTAACATAGCTAGTCATTATGACACATAATGATTGCAAAGGAAAATCTCTGAAAACATGAAAACCTTTTTTATCTGTTAACTTCGTATATGAGTATAGAAACTACAGAATATTATACAGTAGCATATATTTTGCAATACACCCTATACTTAAAGTGGACAGGGTTCAAAAATTTAAATTGTCATTACCTTTAAGCATTGTTCTTCCAGTTGATCCTCCGACGATATTTAAAAGACCACTTCTTGCTCCTAATGATGTAGTTGCTTCTAGTAAAGCACCAGTTACATAGTTAGAGAGTGCAGTCCTCTGTAAAGTGGCACGATATTGACAGTAAGCACCTGTTACACATGGTTTTACACAAAACCCATCACCTTTGCATATACAGTCTGTATCAAATGTTGGGAGCTTTCTCAGAAGATGAGGGAAATATTCAAAAATATCTTCTGCTCCTTCTTCTTCTCTCACTGTATTGAAGATCTGTGAAGAATGCAAAAGCATGAACCATTAGTTCATTTGCTTAAGATAATAAACTGAACATCAAAAAATGCCAAACTAGCACGACTTCTTGTAAAGTTCAACAGCCTTTGCAAAAAGGCACTGTGTTAAAACACTGCATTTATGCATTAAACCTGAAATATCTATGAATCCAAAACTGATTTGTGAAGATTTTGAGTTGGGTTCCCAAACAGGCTATTTAAATAAGATGGCATTCTGGCTTTCAATCTATGGTTAAAAAGCATTCTAATGGAAACCAGTTTTAAGGATCACCATTAGACAAAAAAATGCCACATCTGGTCAACATTTAAAATAAAGAATATACACAGAATTATTTATAAGACTATTAAATCTGTTGTACTTTCAGTCAAGTCTTACAGATATCAGTAGGAGAAAAACAGATCTACTCAGGGTTTGCACTTTTTCTTGCTGAGTGGGTGGGTTTTTGCAAACATAAAGGGTTTTCATCACTGTGAGCAATCTTTCAAAAAGTTCTGGTGTCACATTCACTGCATTACTTCCAGCCTACGCACAGGTCCTCGATCTAATATTGGTTTAGTACTCTATTTCCAATATTAGTGCTAGCACACTAATGAACTTCAGTCTGTGGCTTAGCAACTAAGCAATGTTTGCTTATTTAAAAGAGTCTAATAATCAAAGCAAGAATCTGGAAGAAATCTTTTCATTTAGTATACAAGGAGAGACTTGATTCTTTGCATTCTTGTATGCTGACTAACTGAATAGCTAGTAATTTGTTTCAATGATCTGTGCTTTGTAATTACAAAGTGTAAACCACCAAACTAAAAATTAACATAGGGAAAGGTCGTTATAACTGTTATCAGGACAGGTGCTGAGACAATTTTCATGGGGTTGTTCCCCATCAGTCCTTAGACATGCACAAGAAATAACCTGATGGCTTAATGACTGCTTTTTGTGATTAATGGCTTGTTTCTTGTTGCCATCCTGCTCCACATGTAAATAAAATACATCTATCCATCACCACGGCAGAAATCGCATCCAGTCCTATGACGCAAGCACATACGTGCTCAGCCAAATGACAAGAAACTGTTTGCATGGTCTGTGCACGCCACACGTCAGAGGCACCGGCACCCTCACCACAGGACACATACATGCCCAGCCATGTAACAGGAGCCATGGATGGAAGCGGCTCCTGGCACGGGGATCTGAGCACACGGCCGCTTCTGCCCCAAGACCTGCATTTACCCTGCCATGTAAGCAAGGAGGGTTCAAATGCCCTGCTTGCATGAGGTTTCTCACGCTCTACAAACAGAAGTTGTGAACGATGATGTAATTCTTTCAATCCAGATAAAGAAACTGAGAACAGCTGAAGCTTTGATTCAGCTACTAAATTCAAAATTTGGCAAATTGCTTACTTCTTATTTATTTTTTGCCATAAGCAAGAAAAATCAAATACAATGCAATATTTATTAAAGCACATATTTCTTAGCTATAATTTTGGTATTAAAAATTTCTTGGGGAAAACAGTAAAACCTTTTTCAAAATACCATAATTTATTAACTAGTAATGTAATTCAATGATTTGAAAAAGAGCACTGACATATTTATTATTAAAGGTCTTTTCCAACCTAAACGATTCTATGATTCTATTAAAAAAAAACCCAAAACCTTTCACATGTTGACTATGACTTATATAACTCAATTGCATTAGAAATATGGCTTCTGTGATCCATTAGACAGTGAAATGCTGTGGTATCTATCTGTTTTTTTCCCCCTCCCTGCAAGTTTTCCAAAATTTATTTGGTCTGAGGTTTCTAGAAATATTGAGCCTTTACTTGAGCCTCTTTATCTTATTTTCCTTGGTATACAACAGTTTTCTGGACTCGTAGACTCTCAGTAAGAACACTGTTCATCTCCACCTTTATTCAGAAAGAAAATGCACTCTTAGACTGCATGTTACCTGGACAGGGTATGTGCAGACCTTTTAATCAGGTTAAGTGTCTGCGGGGAACACTGGGATGTGCATATGACTCGCCTTTCCAAAAGCTGCACTGTAAAATAGTGAACCCGCCTTATGATTATGAGTGTGTCACATGTAGCAGACATAATTAGTCTTTTTAGCTTGCTTTAAAAAGTATTTAGTTAATGAAAATAATTTAACTTCTCAAAACTGCTGTTACCTTCCAAAATATTTTTAAAATCGGGCTCTGCAACTTATAAAGGCATGTTCTGTTGCCTACACAACTAAAATTTCTTTCAGCTGCCAAAGCAAAGAAACCATTTGTTGACAGAAACAGGCGACAGTGTTTTGCTGAGGAGATTATACGTAGAATAATGATGTTAATCTCTTTTGTGTAAAGTAGACTTCAGGACACTAGCTGTCTCCAAAGACTCTGTGCTTCATGTAACATTTTCAAATACTGTTTGTTTTGATGTGTTAAAGCTCTGAATGAGTTACTTTTGCTGCACACAGATGAGGTTATGAAAAAATACAGACTTACAATGTGTATGCTTATCAGCCCCTGAAAAGAACCGAAACAATCAGAATAGGAACATATCCCTCAGGTAACTGATAGGGAAAATCACCTTTCAGTGAGACTGCACCAGACAAATTGGGGAAACTTAATCTTGCCTGGAAGACAAAAAAGTTGATTCCAAGCCAGGGCTTACAGTTCATCCTGGCAGATGTAGTTATATTGATCTATATCACTACCAAAGAATGATTCCTGTAATTAAAAATGAACGTGAACCAAAAAGAGCACAATGCAGCACTAAACTGAGAGCTACCTCTCAAAAAACAATTTCACAAAGGCGTATTGCTCCTGATTCGCTTTTGCCTTCCACATCAAATTAAAGATTTCAAAGCCATATGCAGTCTGATGCTACAGTATCTCACACGCTGCATATTCAGCACGAATTCTCAAGAAACTAAGCACAGTATCCGGATCTAAAAGCACTGCAGTATTAAATGTACTTCAAATTTCTTTTTAAGTAGTGCAAAATACTGACGCTTACAGGAAGGAGTTTAAGGTGAAATTTCTTATCTATACCACTGTAATGAGCACACATGTAAACAGCAAATTTTATATGCAACTACAGTACCTCAAGATTTAATTTAGACAATAAAAGCACACATTCTAATATTTTTTTTCTTTTTTTTTCCATGACACTTTTAAAATAAGAAATGAGCTGAAATAGGTCACTCCATATACTAATACAGCATTATTCCAATGGAAGTATACTATGGCTTTGACAGATTTTTACTTTCTTCTATTTTTTAAACAGATTTTAATGGTAAGTAAAACGAATATAAAAATTACTTGCAACATAAAATTTTCCAGAAGACTACAGAAGAAAAACATGTCCTCTAACTCAAAAATGAAAATTAGCATTAAAATAAAGATTAAATTCAGGCAGAATTCCATCCTTGTAGTTTTACAACCAACTCCATATTTGGAAAACAAATGGAAACCAAATAGATCTTTCAGCTCTTAATAACGCATGCAATAAATCACCAAAACTCTACTTTAAAAAACCCTGAGTTTTGCTTCTAGTAACTTAGAATGGTATCTGCAAGTTAACTTATTGATAACCTTCAGGCAATAAAACTTTCTTACAGTGACAACAGACATATTTTGTTAAGATATTCTTTAAAAATAACTATAAGAACAAGTAACACATGCTGGCTTTGAAACCATTCTGTATATTTCTCTTATAATCTTTTCTCCTGTTCAATCATCACTCCAAATTGCATTATGTCCTTTTCTCCACACACATTACTGTAGGTTTATTACATGAAAATGGCAGAAACCTAAACACCATAGCCATTCTTAGCCCTACAGTTTATGACAGATATTCCCCCAAAATGAAGCTGGAGTTCACGGGTGCTGCTGTACTGGAACTACTGGATATAGACATTCATAAAAATAATTGTTCTGATTTCTTACTTAAACTTACATGTATCTCTTCCTGTTTACTGCAATCCTTTATCTGTTTCTCCTTTCAGGTTCTTTCTGCCTCAGGTATTTAGCTCAGAACCTGGGGGTATGTTATCATTTTGCCAAACATCTAGCAGCCGCTCGGTGCATATGAAACCCAGAAATCAGAATTAAGAACGGACCAAAGACCGCTGTTATTAGGAAACAGGCTTAATTTCTCTAACTTTATTATAATAATAAAGAATATGTGTACCCAGAAAGTTCATTGTAAAGAACAGCCATGAAAAACAGGCCCTAAATGGGGCTTTAATAATTCATTACATTGTTTCTGTCCAAAATCTTTGTAAAAACCTCTATCAATGTATCCTGAATGACTGAAATGAAACACTGAAATGTAGGAGATTATATATATACTTTAATATATACATACACATATATATGCTCAGTTGGTACTACACATTCCAGTCTGATTTCCTGGCTGTTTACCTACAGAGCACTTCCATTATGGAGGGTTGCCGACAGCCCGTGTGCAGCATT